ACACAGCTAGTAAATGTCTGAGACTGGTTTTTGAATTCAGGTTTTCCCTACTCCAGGCCTGGCACTTTATCTACCACGCCACCTAGCTGCCATATGAAACTTAGCAATAACTTAAGAGGATAAAATCTCAGAATACCACATCCCACAGCTCAGAAAAACAACCCCGCAAAATTGGGTATGATCCTATAATGGAAAATATGGATTTTAATAGAATAGAAATGCTGAGTAAAAACTCACAAATGCAAACACAAGAGTTAAGAGAAACCAGAAAAGTAAATACATCTAGTAATTAGAAGGGGATAAATGATGAACTACTTACATTATAATAGAAGAAGAAGCAACAAGGTTCCCTTCAGAATTCTAATGTCTACAAAAGTCACAGAATGAGGTAAATAAGACAAACACAGGGCCTGGATCTGGTTCTCTTGGTTTTAGGAAAATAAATGAAAAGGAAGGGAAAATAATATGCTATGGAAGAAATGAAGAAGAAGGGGGAACATCTTACTATTTCACATAAGTGAGGGTTATGAGAAGAAGAGAATACAAACATGGAGGAAAGGGTAGGGAAACAAGCATCTCATGCCCTTATTCGAAGCATATAAAGATGGGTTGAACGCTCAGACTTACAAACACACACAGAGATTTAGTGCAGAAAATATATTAAACTCAAAAGTAAAAGAAGTGGGGAAACAGGAGATGAGAGTGTAAGGAGAACAGAGTTGCAGAGGGAATAATCACCAGCAAATAAAAATACAACTTCAGAAAGGTGATCATAAGTGGTGATAAGAAATGAATAAAATATAAGAAATAGAGTTGGAAACCAGATTGGTAGAGACAGGGGAAACAGAGAAATAGGAACAGACCACATTAATTATGGATGAGTGGTGAACAGATTCTTTCTTTTTCTCTATCCCTTCTATATAAAAACAAATATTGGAGGGGGCAGGAAGAAAAGAGGAAAAAGCATAAGAGAATATGAGGGAAAACAGCCCTTATGTTCAAGTAAATTCTGAAAAATAGGAATTACCCTGCAAATCTTGTTATCTTCACTGAGGCCAATGAGAGTTTAAAAATGTTTACAGTCAAGATGGGTTCAAAACATGCCTTTCATGAACTTGGGCAAATCACTTATTTTCTCTGGGCCTCTATTTCCTTATTTTTAAAATAATGGGGGTAGACTAGCAAGACTTCTTGGTTCTCTTCAGCTCTGTGTCTATGATTGATCTAGACAAAAGAAAAAAGCCCTTAGAAGTAAAGGTCTGAGTAATGCTCTGTCACCCACAAGAGTTGTGTTCTAGTAAAATGGAAAGATGGCTTTATTTTAGGAAGAAAACCATCGCATATTTGATAGATTGTTGTTGAGTTGTGCTGACTCTGACCCCATGTGGGATTTTCTTGGCAAAGATACTGGATTGGTTTGCCACTTCTTTTTCCAGATGAGGAAACTGAGGCAAAGGGCATTAAGTAACTTGCCCAGGGTCACGCACCTAGTATCTGAGACCAGATTCGAACACCTGAAGATGAGTCTTCTTGACTCCAGGCCTGCCTCTATCTACTGTACTACCTGCTCACATTAATTAAGGTCCTCTGTCGACTTCACCACCTCGCTGCCCATATTAAGCACTTACTTGTTGGTCAAGCACTGTGCTTGAGGATGCGAACACAAGCTAGTAAGACAGTCTTTGCCCTCAAGGAATGTGCATTCTAATGGGGGAAGGCAATCCATAACAGGGAGCTAGAAAGGGGGGTGGCTTAAGGAGTTACAACTTGATGTGAAGATGACTAGCATGTGTCATAGACACCTGGTTCTGGGCAAGATAAGGCAAAAGTTCAAATATCAGAGCCTGATGTGCCAGGGATAGAGTCCAAGGTTCCAGTGAGGGGATTTGAGCATGATGGCAGGAGTTCTGGCACAATTATGTGGAAATGACTGGGAAGTCGGTCACCTAATTCACCTGGTCATTGATCAGATTACAGTAGAAAGAATAGGTTGAGGGTTGCAGGTCTTGGGCCTCTTGTCTCTGGTTCTGGAGGCCAGGGTGTAAGTTGGCCTTGTCTCCAGCATTGGCTTCCAGTGTTTGATGGAGCACACTGCTGAGCTCTGCTTCCCTACACAGATGACCTGGGTTCAAATCCTGGCTCTTGGTAATATCTATGTGATCTTGGGAAAATTGTTTTCAATTTCCTTATCTGTAAAATGAGAGCATAGGGACTAGACCACCTCTCAGAACCTGGCTGGCTCTAAATCTATAATCTTAATATGCTAAGAGAATCAGTTTATAATCTTGGCTCAAACCAATTTTTTTAAACCTGATTAAGTGTTCATAGGCTGCTTCTTCATTATATGAAAAGGTGTAAAATATTGCCCCCTTTAAATTCAGTAAACCTCTGCACTATCAGTTGCCTGTATAAGTATTTTATTATTCAAGAAAGTGTGGTTTGGAATCATCTGATGTATCAACCTATGTTTCAATAAAGGATACTGTATTCAAGTACTCACTTTGTTTTTAGTACATTTCATCCAGTGTCAATTTGTCTCCAGTCCCCAAGCTTCTACTGTAGCGCCAAACTGAAACCTGGTCTTTAAAAGCAGAAAGCTACCACCGACAAAGGTGAATTCAGCCTCTGCTCCTACACATTCATTCCTCCACTTGAATTATGTAGTGTATATACGTCTAACTGGATGACAACTGGAAAGGGAGGCTGGAAATAGAGTAGGGATTTCATGTGTATGGGTAGGTTGAAACTATTCTATTTGGCTCTAGTACTTTGAATAGGTCAAAATACTTTTTCATTGAATTAATCAGAACTGAATGTGAGCAGGGTCCGTATACTTCCTTGACACAAAACCATTGGGATAGAGACTGGGTCAGCCATTCGTATATAAAGGAGGAACTATCTCAGAATGGGAAAAGGAAGAGATTTTGAGTGTCAGGATTCAATATGTTAGAGCAAGCACGAATCAAAGGGAAGACAGTAGTAGCAGAGAATGGGGATATCAGCTCTATGGGTATCTCTAGGAGATACCTCCCCAAAAGGTTGACTCTTTCCTTAGCTTCCCCTCCCAAAACCTTTCTATCTTTGGCATCATAATATAATCTGCAGTTTTGTTACCCAAATGTTTACAGTAAATTGAGATTTGCCTCAATTACAAAGGAGCTAGAGATTAACTAGAGATAGATAAGAATATGAGGTTATGCAGAGATGCCAACCTCTGCCTGTGTGTTAGGAATTTTTCCTAATTAGGGGTTCAGAGTTATAACTGAACTTAAAACTTTTCATCAAAAATAAACTCCCTAGAGCTGAAGAAAACAAAGTGAACCTTAGGGACCACTGTGCAGCCTCCTAAGCTTCAAACAAGCTAATTATTATAATAGAGTACAGATCTATTATTACTTAAAATAGAATAAGGCTTCCACCCAAGATGGCTGCTTTGAATGGGTGGCAGGCAGATCAGCTCTCCTATACCTACTCCTTTAAAACCTAAAAAAAGTGAATGATCAGTTGATTCAACGAGAAACTCCAGTAAATGGCATGTTCTCCAGAACTGCATAAAAAGTCAGCTTGAGGGTCACGGGCAACAGGAAAAGAGGCTGCCAGCAAAGGCAGTATCAGTGCAGGCTGACAAACCAGCAGCCTCCTAGCACAGCCAGACACAGGCCAAATGTAGCCTGCAGGTCTCAGTGTCTGGAGTCAGCAAGAGAAATTAGGATGCAAGCATTACGACATGGAGCTGCATAATAATACTAATAATAATACTAATAGCTAGCATTTATATAACCTTAGAGCTTTACAAATATTATTTTATCCTCAGAACAACCGAAGGAGGTAGCTGCAAATCTCTTTCTGTGTTCTGAGGTGTACATGTAAATGTTCTCTTTTTTCGGTAAGTTCAGAATAAAAAAGCAATAAAGCAATAAAATAAAAATATAGTAATAAAAGTTTTAAATGGAATAAAGCCAGATGCTACTACAGTGTTAACAGACAGAGCCTCCCAACTTTGGCACAAGCCAAAAAAAACCAAGCACAAACCCCGAAATTCTGGGGGCTTCTTAGCGAGAGGCTCCATTATGACCCCCAACACACCTGCCCACCCCCACCCCCCAATTTTCTCCTCTGCTATTTTGATACTAGTGGGAAGCTGTGCAGGAAAAGGAAGACGGGGCTGCTGCGCTGGTGTGGCCTCTGCTCGAGGGGAAGGGGCCTGATCGGGGTCCGGTGCAGGGTCGGGGGAGGGGAGGCGGCGCGCCCCCTACAGGGCGGCCCAGGCAGGCCTCCCACCCCAGCCGCTCCCGTGGGCTCCGTCAGGCCCTGGTGTCCTCTGGCGGCTCCCTCCCCATGGCGGCCCCATCTCTCCTTGGGCTTCTTGGGGCTGTCGGTCCCACAGGGCCTCCGGGCCCGTCCTCCCGGCCCGTTGCTAGACACTGACTAGAAGGTGACAGCGCCTCCAGATGAGGGCGGGGGGGGGGGGAATCGCACCCAGGCGCAGACTGACACACGGGGCGGCTCTCGCGGTCCCGCCCCCCCCACGCGCCAGGGGGCCCCGCCCACCCCGGCCTCGGCCCAGCGCCCACCAGGTGGCGGCAAAACCGCACCGCGGTTCGGGTGCGGGGCGACGCGGGGCGTCCTAGGAGACCAGCCCGTGAGGAAGTGTCTGGGGAGGAGGGCGGCCCTTCATTTTATGTCTTTGTTAAAAGAGGGAAGGAAAGAGAAAGAAGGAGAGCGAGAGCCGGATGCGCAGGTGCATCCGAAGGAACGTGGGAAGAAGGTCTGGCGGGGAGGAGGAAACCTAGACTGCGCACGCGCGCCCTGGCCCCCGCCTCGCCTCCGGAGCCTGTGGCCTGGCGGTGGAGGGAGGAGCGCCTCGGACTTCGCAGTGCCCGGGAGCTCGAGGTCTTGCTCAGCTGCGCAGAGGGGCGGGAGAACCGGCCACCCCGCGCGGGTCCGTCGGGGCCAAGATGCCGGTAAGAAGCGAATCCTCGCCCCGCCCCGTCCGGCGGCCGGGGCCGTTGCCATGGAGGCACCGAGCCGGGCGGGCCTCCCCGGGGAGGGGCGGCCGAGGTCCAGGCCCGGCCCCAGCCCCTGCCCAGGCCCGGTCCTTGGCGGAGGCTTTCCCCGGGGTCCTTGCAAGGAGGGCCGAGAGAGGCCCGGCCCCAGCAGCAGCTTCCCCAGGAGCTTCCTCCGGCAAGGATGGGAGAGGCCGGGGCGGGGCGGCAGCCTTGGGGGCTCCTCCGGGAAGGCCGAAAGAGCCCCAGCTCCAGGCCAAGCTGCAGCTTCCTTAGTCCGTGGGAGAGCCCCGGCTCAGCCCAAGTGCCTCCTCAGGGTAGGGTGAACCCAGCCCGGCCTTCTTGAGGAAGGGAGGTTCGGTCGGGCTCGGAACCTGGAGTAGGGACAGCGTTAGCCACGGCCTCTTTGTCATCACGGCCAGGGGCTCCCGTCGAGCCCTGGCTTCGGGCCTCCTGCCCTTAGGGGTGCTGGAGATGTCCCTGGCCACCTCGGGGTGGTGGCGCTGGGCGGGGCCGGGCGGAGGCGGGGCCGGCCCTCCTTGGGTCAAGGGAAGGGACTCGAGGTTCCCAGGGTCTTGAGGTCAGAGCCACTCTCTGCTGCCATCTGACTTTCAGGACCAGCACCCTCCTCCTCTGAGATTTCATGGTATTACATAGAGTAAGATGAGCCAGATGCTGCCATCGCCCCAAATTATTGACCAGTCCCCGTTCCCTTTAGCGGATTGTTATTGCTCCTATATCTTTCTAAGGAACTCTGGTTCCTATTGTTCTTTAACTTCCAATCAGTTAAATTGCTAATGTCATATGAATATTGGTATGTCATGGAATGATGGCTGTTGAAATTTCCTGCGTTTTTCGTCTTAGATCAGTAGTTGGAAAGGCCAACCCTCTCCCATTTACTGATGAGGAAGCTAGAAGTGTAATGACTTGTCTAAGGTCACACAGCTAGTCAGTGGCATAGCTATGGTACTGTAGCTTGCAGGATTCTTTACCATCTGTATCATCTGCATCTTGTTATTTCACAACATAATAAAAGTGTTAAACTTAGGGTAGATGCTACATCAGCTTTAACAATATAAAGCTTGATTTCATCCAGAGGGATGGGATTATGCCCACTGCAGGCTCTTGATTCCTAAAAATTCAGTGACTGAGCATTTTAGTGTAGTCTTAAGTGAGAAACTGTATATCTAGTAGACTTTATTACTCTGTTTAAATGTGAATAATTATTGTTTTTCCCTAATTTTAAGAATATTTGAACTGGTTTTTCCTGAAATAGAACATTTACAATTTTCTGGGATGAGTGCCACAGAAATGACTTATGGATACTGCACAATATGGAATAACCATTTCAGTTTATATGCATGGTATGAGAGAAGCCCTGAATTCTTAATGAGGGGTTAGAAAGTGGAGGAAACTAAGGGATGGAATTCCACATGCTTTTTGAAATTTACAGTATTTACTGTGGGAGAAAGTGGAGGAAACAAGATGCATTAGAGCATTGAGCTTGTAGAGCAAAACTTGGAATCACAGAATTTTAATTCAGTGGCTGTCTCTATCCTTTACCTGTAGGACCTTGGGCAAGTCATTTGATTTCTCTGGCCCTCAGTTTTCTCATCTGTAAAATGAGAGAATTGGACTAGATGACCTCTAAGGTCTCTTCCAGCTACAGTCAGTTCTCATTTAATATAAATGGACCCTTCCTCAGACCTCCCTGGAGACCTATGTAGCCCCTCTGTCTCTTCAGCCCTAGCAGCCAGAGGAGCTTCTTCAGTGCCTGAGACCCTGCAGCCCAGAGACTGAATCAAGGACCCCTGGCTCCAGGCTGGTGGTAGCTGCTGTAACTGCCTGTAGGAAACCTGGGCCACTGTACACTTCTGCCCACCTTTGTGCCTGGGAGTGGAATTTACAAATGTGAAACTAAATGGAGAACTGTCTACATATGATAAAGTGGTCTTATGGAAGCATGGTTTAGTGAATGGAGAGCAGGCTTCAGAATCAGGAAGATATATTTTGTATTTACTTTTTTATTTGTGCAAGTGTAATAAATATCACATGCACTAGCATAGGGTATGGGACAAGGTTGATGATCCAATAAAGAAGACTGATGACAGGAAGAACCAAGGTGTCTTTCTGACACTGGAGCAGAAAAATAGAGAATGGGCAGTGATGTAGAGATTTGGAAATGGAGGAGCTTAAGATGTGTGAACTTCATCTTTTCAATACAGTAGAAAGAGAAGTTCTCATTCGGAGTGGCAAGTGTAGATTTGGGGACTTGTGGAAAGAGCAGAAGATTTGAGATTTCTGTTAATAGGAGTGTGAGAGGAATTTTATTCAGAGAGGAATAAAGAAAAACTTTGCAGTTGAACTTCTGAGAGCTTATGTAAGGAGAAAGAGAGAGAGAGATTGAGAAAGATTAGGCTAGGGAGAGAGCACTGGGATACATGTATCCATGTATGGGGCTGGAATGAGGCCTGATGATCCTGTGTGAAGGAGACTGGACTGGTAAGAAAGGAGCAGGAAAAAGGAGTGTCATCAAGTTCCAGGGGAGAGAGTTTGGAGGAGGAGGTTATCTAAAGTGTCAAATAATGTGGGGAGGTCAAGAAAGATAAGTACTGAGACCATGAGATTTGGCAATTAATAGATCATTTGTGACTTTGAATCCAATTTCAGTTGGTAGTGATGTCACAAGCCAGATTCTAAAGGATTTTGAAATGTCAGGTAAGGAAATAAATGCAACAGTTTTCCCAGTTTCCTGAATTGTAAAATGATAGAGTTGGACTAGATGACTTGACTTCTAAAGTCTCTTCTAGATCTCTTTCCATGAACCTATAAGGCTCCTCTCTGAAGTCAACTGGCTTTGTGACTCTGGGTAAGTCACTTAACTCTCAGTGCCTCAGGCAATACTGAGACCTTCATTTGCCTTTCCTTATCTTCATTGTTAAGCATTTCCTCACACTTCCCTATCCAATAAAATCCCAGTTCTCCTTAAAAAACAACAACCAGAAACTATGTAATTGTGTGACTTTTTGCAAGAAACTGACAGATGATTGCTGTGATTCATTCAGTAGGACTCCATTTCCCAACTCAGTTCATTTTCACTGGCTTACCCTCATGCCTGAAATTTTTTCCCTGCCCCATATTGCCTCCTAGCTTCTTTCAAGTCCCAGCTAAAATTTCACCTTCCACTAGAAGCCTTTCATTGTCTCACTTATGCTAGTGCCTTCCTTCTGTTGATTATCTCCAGTTTATCCTAGATCTATATCTTGTTTGCACATGATTAGCATGTTGTCTTCTCCATGTGACAGTGATCTTCTTGAGAGCAAGGACTGTCTGTATCCTCCTCAGCTTTTAGCATAGTGCCTGGCACATAGCAGGTACTTCATAAATATTTGTTTACTGATAGACAAAGCCTTGAGCTTGAGGCTAAGAAATACTGAGATTTAAAAGGACATGATTCTAGTGTATAAAAAAAATCAGGTGGTCTGCAATTTACTTATCAAATATTAAAGCAGCAATTAATAAAAATAAAAATCTTGACCAGAAGCTTATTTTTTTTTCAATTAAGTAGTAGTAGGCACTTAATAAATGTTTGTTCTTGGCACTGTGTGTACAAAGACAAAATTGAAACAGTTCCTGTCTTCAGAGAACTTACCTTCTAAGGTGGAGGAGGGAGTGAAACAATAGGTACATAGAGATAACTTGAAGAGGGAAAAAATGCTAACAACTGGAGGTATTTGGCTTCCATTTGGAGGTGGCATCTGAGCTAAACCTTGAAGGAAGCTAAGTGTTCCAAGAGACTGTTGAAGCGAGTCTTTTTTTGCATAGAAAATGGAGGTACCCAGTCTATTTTTCTTTTTAGCTCAAGTAACAAGATTTGAAAAATATATACATGATGATTGTGGAGAAACATTAATCTTAGTGACAAGAAGTCTTACGTTGAAAATTGTTCTTATGTGTGTTAAGATTAATGTTGATTTTTTTGTTTCATTTTGGTTATTAGATCAATAAATCAGAGAAGCCTGAAAGCTGCGACAATGTCAAAGTTGTTGTTCGATGTCGACCCTTCAATGAAAGAGAAAAAGCAATGTGCTACAAATTATCTGTTACTGTGGATGAGATGAGAGGAACTATTACAGTGCATAAAACAGATTCTTCAAATGAACCTCCAAAGACATTTACATTTGATACAGTTTTTGGACCAGATAGTAAACAACTTGATGTTTATAACTTAACAGCGAGACCCATTATTGATTCTGTTCTAGAAGGCTACAATGGTAAATAACCTCATTTCACTTTTGAATTAAGAGGATTACGAATTTTTGAAATGTAGAAGCTTGCAATCCTATTTGAGCATTATAAAAGGATTTTTTACCTATTGAGTTTAGTTATTAACCTACCATATTATTATTCAACAAATACTAAGTTTTTGCTTGTGTATATACTAGTCCTGTAAATATAATAACAATAGCTTAATAAATAATGGAAATCATCTTTTTTTTAACATTTTTTTATTTAGTGTTTTATTTTTCCCTAGTTACATGTAAAAATAATTTTTAACGTTTATTTTTAAAACTTTGAGTTTCAAATTCTCTCCCTTCCTCCCCTCCCCGCCCCCACCATTGGGAAGGCAAGTAATTCGATATAGGTTATACGTGTGTAGTCATGCAAAACATCCATAATAGTCATGTTGTGAAAGAAAACATAGACAAGAAAGCTTTATAACAATAGAAAGTAAAAAAAAAGTGTGCTTCACTCTGTATTCAAACACCACCAGTTCTTTCTCTGGGGATGGATAGCATTTTTCATTATAAGTCTTCAAAGTTGTCTTGGATAGTTGTGTTGCTGAGAAAAGCTGAGTCATGCACAGCTGATCATCTTATGATATTGTTTTTACTTTGTGCACAGTACATTTCACTTTGCATCAGCCCATGCAAATCTTTCTAGGTTTTTCTGAGAGCATCCTGCTCATCATTTCTTACAGTACAATAGTATTCCATCATAATCACATACCACAGTTTGTTAAGCTATTCCTCAATTGATAGGCACCCCCTTAATTTCTAATTCTTTACCCCCAGAAAAGAGCTGCTATTAATATTTTTGTACATATAGGTCCTGGGAAATCATTTTGAAAAAGGATATAAACTTCTGCCCCTCACAGTTTGTATTTTGTTTTATGATATATATTAGTCACATGTGGATTATCCATATTGTGGGTCATGCATAACCAGTATATAATCCTCAGCTGGCTTTCCTCCATTAGACAGAAAACTTCTTGGGTGACTCCATTTCTTTAGCTGGTACGTATCCAAGAATGGTAATGTAAGATTCTGTGATTAGTCTGAGCAAAACAATTAGATACATCTCTTCTGAAAAAAATACGATGCATTCTAGACCTAAATGTTAGTGGTTTTTGTATTATCACTGGCCATGTGACTTGAAGTATTATAATAATTTCCTACCAATATTTCATCCACTGTCCTACTTTGCACATGTGGTACTTAGTGTTTGTTGGTGATGCTATAACAGAACAAGTTGAATTTTTCATTTCATCTGAACCTACTTCCTTAAGACAGTCAGAAAGATGTCTCAGTAAAAATTATAAAAAAGCATGGCTATCGTACTACTAAGATGTGAACAACACTTGAAAAGTACTTTAGTTTTGTTTTTTTTCCCACAATGGGTTTGCCACCAGAACACAGGTGTCATGAAAATTTTGGATAAAGGTAACTAAAATGGCAAGGTAAAGACATTATCTAATCATCATTGGACAAACAGACTCTGGCAAATGCGTGACAACTGACCACCTCACCTATAAATGTGACAAGATTGTTAAGAAGGCTATTGAAAAAGAGGCTGCTGAGATGAGAAAGGATTCCTTCAAATATACCCGGTCTTGGATAAACTGAAGGCTGAACCTGAGAGTGGTATCAACATTGATATCTCCCTGTGGAAATTTGAGACCAGCAAGTTTTACATGACCGTCATTGATGCTTCTGAACCCAGAGACTTTACCAAGAACACAATTACAAGCACATCACTGACTGATTGTACTGTCCTGATTATTGGCTTGAGTGAATTTGAAGCTGGTATTTTAAAGAATGGTAAGAACTGTGAGCGTGCCCTTCTGGTCTGTATACTAGCTGTGAAACATCTCATTGCTGATGTTATAATGGATTCCACGAAGCATCCTTATGGCCAGAAGAGAGATGAGGAAATTGTCAAACAAATAATTATTTGCAGTAAAAAAAAAATCGGCTACAACCCAGACACTGGTTTTTGTGCTAGTTTCCGGTTGGAATGGTGGTGACATACTGAAATCCAACTATAACATGTCTTAGTTCAAGACTTGGCGTATCTCTTGTAAGGATGGCAATGCTAATGGAACCACTCTGTTTGAAGCTTTGGATTGATTGTGTCCTGATGTCAGTTTGTCCAACTGACAGATCCCTATGGTCTACACTCCAAAATGTCTACAAGATTGGTGGACTTTGTCGGCCACGTGAAGATCAGTGTGGTGAAACCAAGCACGGTGGCGACTTTTGCTTCAGTCGTTGTTGCAACTAAAATGAAGTCTTTTGAACTTCACCATGAAGCCCTGCCTGTGAATGACATTGGTTTCCTCATCAGGGATGTGTCAATTAAAGATGTCCTCTTTGATAGTGTGGCCAAGGGTAGCAAGAATGACCCCCCAACAGAACAGCTAGCTTCGTTGCACTGTGAAATTCACAGGTGTGAACCAGCCAAATTAGTGCTGATTGTGCACCTGTGCTAGGTGATCACATTGCTTACATTGTTTGATTTGCTGAGCCAGAGGAGGACATTGATTGTGGTTCTGGTAGGAAGCTGGAAAATGGCCCTAAACTCTCTTTTTAATTATTTTTTAAAAGTTTCTATTTTCTTGGAGGCAGTGGGGGTTATGTGACTTACCCAGGGTTACACAGCTAGTAAGTGTTAAGTGTCTGAGGCCAGATTTGAACTCAGGTCCTCCTGAGTCCAGGGCTGGTGCTCTATCTACTATACTATCTAGCTGCCCCCCCCCAAATTCTTGAGATTGGGTGATGCTGCATCATTAATGTGATTCCAGACAAGCCCATGTGTGTCAAGAGCTTCTCTAATTATCCTTCACATGGTCGTTTTGCTGTTCATGATACAAATAGACTGTTGTGGTTGATTTCATTAAGACAATTGATAAAAAGGCTACTGGAACCTTGCAGGGTCACAAATTCTGCCTGGAGATTTAGGAGGCAAAATATTTGTTTGTTTATTGTCTCCCCCATTAAAGTCAGGGACTATCTTTTGCCTCTTCTTGTGTCCCCAGCATTTAGCGCAGTGCCTAGCACAAAGTAGGCATTTAAAAATGTTTATTGATTGATTAAACACCTGCCACCCTAGTCTTCTTACTCAGTGATCAAAGAACTGAGAATTATTTTGTCTCAACTGACAGCTGGTTTCAGAATTGTTTGTCTCAACTGGCCAAAATGTATTATAAAAGTTTCAAGAGGAAAAGAATGGTTTTTTTTGTGGACCATTTGTTTCCTTGAAGTTTTAAGTTACTAGTTTTTAGAATAGTAATTTTTAAACATAAACAACTTGACCAAAAATCTATCACAGAATTTTACCATCTTTAAAAAAAAGTTTAATGCAAAAAAGTAATTTTACTTTGCTCTGTATATTTTTTTAATGTATTACCTATGCCTACAAGGCCTTCTTCAGCTGTTTAATTCCCACCCAACTGACATGTTGCCAGCTCCATGAAGCCCTTCCTTGATTTCCCTGCCCTCCAGACCTAACATAGCACTTGGTATTGTACCTTTTTAATGTGTAATGTGTCTTATTTTATTGTTATCTTTGTGCTTAATCCTTCTGTCAGTCAATAAGCACCCTGAGAGTAGGGATTGTTTCATTCTTTGTATTTGTATCCTCCACCTACAACACAGTGCTTGGCACATAGTAAGGACTTAGTTTATAAATGCTTATTAATTGTGTGAGGCATTGTATTAGATTGTAAATTTTCTGATTCCAGGAAACTTATCTTACTTAGCTAATGTTTGTATTTTCTTCAGTGCCTGATTCAATGTTATACACACATTAGATGCTTAATAAAATTAATTGAATTTAAAATTTCAGTGTCTTTGGAGTAAATATTTTCTTTCTATTTCAGGTACTATATTTGCATATGGACAGACTGGAACTGGAAAAACATTTACCATGGAAGGCGTACGAGCTGTACCTGAACTTAGAGGAATTATCCCAAATTCATTTGCTCATATATTTGGTCATATTGCAAAAGCAGAAGGGGATACAAGGTAAAAACAAAAAAGACTCTTTTTTTCCACTTCCCTCCTTATTTTTAAGTAAAATAATTTTTTTATGTAGGTAGATGTTGATTTCAAGGTTGTCATTCATATATGTCGTTGTATTTGCCATTAACCTGATTATTTTCCCAAGTATTTGGCCTTCAGTGAAGCCATCCTATGTTAAGTCCCTACTAAAGTGTCAGGTATTGGGGCTGGAGTTTTTAAAGACAGAAAGAAATATGCTTGTTCTCAAGGAGTTTACATTCTATTGTATGTATACAATATACTACATATATGCAGAGAGGTGAGTACAAAATGCAGGATTTGATTGCAGTTAGTTTGAAAAGATAGCCTGGAGCTAGGAAGAGAGACTAGACCTTCTATTTCACTAATATCGTGAATTACTAATTGATGAGTAAAATCCTACCAATGTAGCTTACTTAGAGTCTTATAAGAGTTGCCTAGGGCACTGTGAAATGCACAGCTAGCTCTGGACCCATGCTTTGAAACTTAGGCACCTGAAGAGGAAGGACTATTTCAGACATGGGGCTGTGAAAAAGTGTGGAAGTAGGGGGGAAGCTAGGTGGCACAGTGGAGCACTGGCCCTGGAGTCAGGAGGACCTGAGTTCAAATCCAGCCTCAGACACTTAACACTTACTAGCTGTGTGACCCTGGGCAAGTCATTTAACCCCATTGCCTAGCCAAAAAGAAAAAAGTGTGGAAGTAGGAGACAGACCATCATATGGGGGGAATGAAGGTTATTAATGTGAAATTGGTCTGAAAAGGTAGGTTGGAGCCAGATTGTGAAAGAACTACAAGCTGGAATTTGTATTTTATCCTAGAGCAATAGGAAACCACTGAAACTTATTGAGCCAGGGGAGCCTTGTAGACTTGTGCTTTAGGAATATCAGTTTGGCAGCTCTGTGGATAATCCATTGGAGGTGGGAGATCCTGGAGGCATTTATATCATTTAAGAGGCAATTGCAATAATTTAAGTGAGAAGCGAAGAGGGCTTGAACTAGGGTGGGAGTGCTATGTGTAGAGAGAAGAGTATGGTTGTGTTGGTGGATTAAGAGAACTCAAGATAGATACTGGAGTCACCTGCGTAGAAATGATAATTTGAACTCTTGGGAGCTAATCCTCTCATGAATAAAGAGAAAAGAAAAAAAGAAAAGAAAAGGACCTGGGATTGAACCTTTAGTTAGGCTGATGATTAGCCTGTATGTAGCCCTTTTAGTTTTATAAATTAGGCTTTGCAAATATTATCTCATTTTATCCTCACTACTAGTGGGGAGGTAGGTAGTGTTGTTATTATCTCCATTTTACTGATTAGGAGACTAAGACAGAGGTTAAGTGGCTTGCCCAGGGTCATTTAGGTGGTAAATGTCTGAGTTGAGTTTTGAACTCGGGTTGACTCCAGCAGAGGAGGCAGAGAAGAAGCCAAAGAAAGAGGAAAGAGCAAATGAGGAGTGTCATGAAAAACCAGAGAGGAAAGGGTGAACACGGTCAAATGCTGTAGATCAAGAAGGATGAATACTATGAAAATGCCTTTGGGTTTGACAATTAGGAGATCATTGATAACTTTGGAGAGAGTCATTTCAGTGAAGTATTCTGTTGGGAAGCCAGTTTGCAAGGAGTTGAAGGAGTGAGAGGAAAGGAAGTAGAAGCAACAAATGTAGACAACTTATTGTAGTTTATATGGAGATGTAGGATGATGGCTTGTGGGAATAGGAAGATTTTGAGGGGGGGTTTTGTTTTGTTTTTAGGCAGTTGAGGTTAAGTGACTTGCCCAGGGTCACACAGCTAGTAAGTGTCAAGTGTTTGGTCTGAGGCTGGATTTGAACTTAGGTCCTCCTGACTTCAGGGCCGGTGCTCTATCTACTTCATCACCTAGCTGCCCCTTGAAGGTTTTTTAAGGATAAGGCATGTTGATAGGCATGTTGGAAGGAGCTGGTAGATTGAGAGGGAGTGAAGATTAGAGAGAGAGAAGAGGTAATTGCAGGGGCAGTCTGCTGGAGGAGATGGGAAAGTGTGAGATCAAGAATGTAAAGAGAGGGGTGGCCTCACCTGGAGAAGGGCTCCATCTCTTTATCAGAGACTGGAGTAAAAGAGAAGAAAATGGGGGAGGAATGATGACAAGGAGTTTTGACATATAGAGTAAGAGGAAAAAAGTATTAGCTTAGTGGCAGATGGCCTCAGTTTTCTCAGTAAAGCATTCTAAAGCATACATAAGAGGTCTTCTGAGAGGGAGAAGGTATGACAGAGGCTTCTAGGGAATGTAAAAGAGTTAAGGAAGAGTAGTAAAAGGATTGCTTTGTAAATAGTTTTAATAAACAGATTAGATAACAGATTTTTAGTAGGCTCATTTAGCATTATTGTATGACTTATTCTAGTGCTCTTCAGCTTCATTTGAGTAGGAGCAAAGGCAGCAAGTGGTAGGGATAATTTAAAGTTTGGGTTTGGCAAGAGGGGCAGAGGACAATGTAAATTTGTACTGGTTAATCATAAAGTCAAGATTGGGAAGAGAGAAAAGTTAAGTCAGAGCAGGGGTGATGGCCTGGATGAGCAGGGAGTCTTGTAAGAATTGGAGGTCATGGTGACGATGAAGAGTAGGTTTAGGAGAAATGAAGCACAGAAAAATAAGAGGTTATGGTCAGATAGAAGCTTTTCCTATTTCTCAGTCATGGAAGTGGAACGCTTGTGGATGATGCTGGGATTATCCCTCTCTGATTGAGGTGGAGTGAAATTGAAGGTCATGGAAGTTGAGGAGGTTGATGAACTGGGAGGCCGGGATGTCTGTGAGAACATCAGCTTACATATTGAAGTTCTCTAATATAAGATCAGAATCTGTGGTGGACAGAGTCTGTAAACTATGCATTGACCTCTTCAGGAAAGGAGGGAGAATGACCCAGGGACTGGTAGATAACTACCTCTAGTATCTGGATAGGATGTCAAATGTGGATGAAGCTAACCTCAAAGAAGGAGAGGCTACTCAGTAATGTTAGTGAGTAACAAAGAATGTGCCTGTTTTTCCTTGTCCAGTGTGTTGGTGGTGTGAGAAAAAGTATATCCTTGAAGATGGCCAGAGATGCAGGGTCTTCTGAGGGGAGCCCGGTTTCTGTGAGTGTCAGAAAATGAAAGAGTATAAGAGAAAAAGGTCTAAAAAGAAAGGAAGTTTGTTCATTAATGATAGAATCCTAACACTGTTTTTTCTTCTTTTTCTTCCAAGACCTCTAATCATTTGCGTTATCAGATAAAACCATATGGAGGTGGCTGCCAGGATGGGGAGGGCATCTGGGGCAGATGCAGGCTAGTGAGCACTATGGAAGGAACAGAACTGAAAGGAGGTTTGGAAGGGAAGGGGAGTAGAGAGTGGGAAGTGACAACAGGGGAGAAGAGTGGCTTTTGTTCAGGCAGTCACCGATTCTGCATCACATGGTTAGGAGAGAAAGGTGTTAAGAAGCTAAGCTACAGAATGGAGACTGGAGCTCTCTTCTGCAAAGAGTCCCATATCTATATGTAGCCCTAGTTTCTCTCTTGAACTCTGATCGCATATCATCCGGGGCCATCTCCAGTCCCCCTGATCTATATCTGGCCACTGGGCCCAGATGGCTCCAGAGGAGAAAGTGAGACTGGTGACCTTGCACAGCCTTCCCTCACTTAAATCCAATTCACTTGCAAATTATGGCATCATCTTCCTGATGTCATGGTCCTCTTGAGAATGAAGAACAAACAGTAACAACAGTCCCACATCATAAATTGTCAGTTAAATATTTTTTTTAATCCCACTAGTATTTTATTTTATTTTTGTGTTGTATTTTTTATTTATTTTGTTAAATATTTCCTAATTAGATTTAAACATTTTTTCCCAATTGCATGTAAGCAAAAATTTTTAACATTTGTTTTTTTTTTATTTTGAGTTCTAAATTGTCTCTCTCTCTTCCTTCATTCCCTCCCCCCACCTCCCATGAGAAGGCAGGCAATTTGATATACACTACAAATGTGTAGCTGTGCGAAACATTTCCATATTAGCCACATTGCAAAAGAAAACACAGACTGAAAAAAAAAACCCAAGAATAATACAGAAAGTTTAAAAAGTAATCTTCAGTCTGCATTCGGACTCCATCATAGTATTTTTCATGATAAGTTGTTTGGAATTGTTTTGGATCATTGTAATGCTGAGAATAGCTGTCATTCCCAGATGATTATCATACAGTATTGCTCTCACTGTATACAATGTTCTCCTGCTTCTGCTTATTTCACTTTATATCAGTTCATGTAAGTCTTTCCAGGTTTTTCTGAGAGCATCCTGCTCATCATTTCTTGTAGCACAATAGTATTCCATCATAATCACATACCACAACTTGTTCAGCTGTTCTCCAACTGATGGGCATTCCCTCAATTTGTAATTCTTTGTCACCAGAAAAGAGCTGCTATAAATATTTTGTACGTATAGGTCCTTTTTCTTTTTGGTTTTTTATCTCTTTTGGGATATAGACCTAGTAGTGGTGATAATATCTTGAAAGATGATGAATGGCCCTTTTTTTGATCCAGGCCTTCAGGTAGGCCAGTAATTCTTATATTATCTTTATGGGATTTGTTTTCCAGGTCAGTTGTTTTTCCAGTTAGATAGTTCACATTCTCTTCAATTTTTTCATTCTTTTGCTTTTATTTTATTGTTTCTTAATGTCTCATGAAATCATTAGCTTCCACTTGACCAATTCTAATTTTTAAGGAATTATTTTCTTCAGTGAGCTTTTGTACTTCCTTTTCCATTTGGCCAATTCTGCCTTTTTAAGGAGTTCTTTTCTTCAATGGATTTTTGGCCAATTGTGTTTTTTAAGGTATCATTTTCTTCAGTATTTTTGTGCCTCTTCTACCAAGCTGTAGACAATATTTTCATAATTTTCTTGCATCATTCTCATTTATTTTCCCAATTTTTCCTCCACCTCTGTTATATGATTTTTAAAATCCTTTTTGAGCTCTTCCAGGAGTTCTTGTTGGATATGTATCCAATTTGCATTTTTCTTTGAGGCTTTCTTGAACAGCTTTGACATCATTTTCTTCTTTTGGGTTTTGTATCTTGATCTTTCCTGTCACCATAGTAACTTGTTATAGCTTGGTTCTTTTTTTGTTGTTTGCTCATTTTTTCCATCTGTTTCTTGACTTTTAACTTTATGTTGAAATTAGGCTCTGTTTCTAGGGTGGAAGGGGCACTGTCGTAAGCTTCAAGCATTTCTTGCCTCTGCTTTTAGAGTTAACTCTGGGAGTCTGTAGGTTTTCAGTGCTTATGATCTAGGGAGAGCTTTGGTTACTGCTCTCTGGGCCTGTGCTTTTGCCTTTATCCAGGAAGGGGCCTTGTTCGTTTGTAGCCACCAGTACTAGCACTCCTCCTGGCCCTGGGACTGTGACTGGGTCCCCCCACTCTCTTGCAGCTGCAGTTGCTAGTATTCCCCTCTGTCCTGGAAGTAAGACAGGGTCTTTACTCCCCCTGGGCAACCACAAGCTCTCCGCTGACCCTAGAACTGCAACCAGGGTCCCTGCTCCCCTGTGGCTACAAGTGCTAATGTTCCTCCTGGCCCTGGGACTGAGATCCAGAACTGCACATGGGCAATACAAGAAGGTCCTGAACCCAGTGCCAATAGAGAGTCCCCTGTAGTCTCCATCTGACCAGTTGTTCACTTGTTGTGGGCTAAGAGCTCCTGAAGTTGCCACTGCCGATGCAGGTGCCTCCAAGGCCTATGGTTTGTGCCACAGCTTGACCACCTCCCTGGTGAGATAAACCTTTCTTGCCGGATAAGTTGTCTTGGGCTGGAAAATGGTTGCACTCAACTTTTTGTTGGTTCTGCTATTCCATAATTTGATTTGAGGTGTTATTTTAGAATTTTTTGGAAGAGCACTTGGCTGAGTTCTGCTCTACTCTGCCATCTTGTTTCTACTGCTCCCCAACTAGTTCTGATGAATATTTTTGAACCAGATGTTATATGTGAATCTCAAGCTCAACATATCCTCACAGAACTTATTATTCTTTTCTCTTTTCCTCTTCTACCCCTAAACCCCAATCCTTCTTTCCATTTCCAAACACGTCACTCTTCCAAACTTTCATATTATCGTAAAGGACACCACTATCTTTCCAGGCACCCAGGTTTGAAACCTCAGTATTATCTCCAGCTCCTCTTACTTCCTCCACAAATCCAGTCAGTCACCAAACCTTGTTTTTATCTCCTGATAACACCTCCCCTCATCCCCCACCCCCAACCAACATACTCCCTCCCCACTCCAGACTTCAGTGGCTCTTTATTGCCTCCAGGCAAACTTCTAGTTTTCCAATGCATTTGGCTTCAATGCCCTTTATAGCCTAGCCCCTTCCCAACTTTGCAGTCTTCTTATACCTTGCTCTCTGCCTCCTGGCCGTTCCATGAACATGATGCTCCATATCCTAGCTCTGGGAGTTTTCTCATGGACTGTTCTCCCGCTTGGAATGCTCTTCCTCCTCATCTCTACCTTTTGGTTTCTGTGACTTCCTTTAAGTCCTAATTAAAATCCCACTTTCTACATGAAGCTTTTCCCAAACTCTTAATTTTAAGTGCTTTTCCTCTTTTAATTATTTTCCTGTTCATCCTCTATATAGCTAGTTTGTACATATTTATTAGTTGTCTCTCCCTTTAGATTGTGAGCTCCTTGAGGGTAGGGACTTGTATTTTGCTTCTTTTTGTGTCCTCAGTGCTTAGCACAGTGCTTGGTGCATAATAGGCATTTAATAAATATTTATCGATTAACTGACATGATATATCTCACAAATATCCCATTCTTTCCATGTAGCCGCTGTCCCAGTTCAGGTGCTCATCAATTCTCACTGGCATTACTACAATAGCCTTCTAATTTGTTCTCTTTACCTTAGGTCTTTCTCCACTCCAATTCATCCTCCATATAACTGCAGCTGCTAACGTGATTTTCGTAAACTGAAATTATCTTTAGGTTCAAATATAAATTGCTCTGTCTTTCATAGCTCTTAACAACCTGGCTTATTCTTCCTTTGCCAGTACATATTACATCCTTCCTATAAACTCTACAGTCTAGCCATATTGGCCTACTTGTTGTTCCACACACAGTACTCCTAACCTGGAATGTACTCCTTCCTTATCTTCACCTCTTAGAATCCTTGGTTTCAATCAAGATGCAACTCAGGTACCATCTTCTGTGTAAAATCTTTCTTAATCTCCCTAGCTGCTAGTGCTCTCCCTTCCAAAACATACATGTCATCTCCTTCATTAGAATGTAAACTTCCTGAGGGCAGGAACTGTTTCAGTTTTGTCTTTGAATCTCCAAGGTTTAGCTTAGTGCCTGGTATATATTAGGTATTTTAAAATGTTCATTCATTAATTGGTTGGTTTTAGGTACTGAGGAAAAAGGGAGATTGGGCTTCCTTTTGTTGGCCCCTCCTGTAGATGACATCCTGACAGCAACAAGTTGTGTATCTAAATCTTCAGTCCTACCTGCGTCAGGGCCCCTAATAGCTGATGAGATCATTGAGAGAGAGAGAAAAGTAGAGGGCCTAGAACAGAGAGCTCTTGGCTACAATCACAAAGACAAATCATATCTTCACAAAGGATTTGGAGGAAAGGATTGGACAAGTAGATAGGTAGGAGAGAACAGAGTCAGGAAAATTTAGGAAAGGGAGAATATCCAGGAGGAGGCGGTATTCAACAGTGTCAGATGTTGCAGAGAGGTCGAAAGGATAGGGACTGAGATCATTGGATTTAGAAATTTAGAGATCATAGTTAACCTTTTTGCTTGGCATTGGCATTGGAATTCAGTTGGCAGTGACCTGAGAAGTAAGTATTTATAGGAAATAGAGGCAACAAAAGGTAGTCAGCTTTTTCACGTGTTATTTTGAACCACATACTACATGTGAATCTCCAATTCAACATGTCCTAACAGAACTTATTATTCTTTTCTTAGGTTTTTGGTTCGAGTATCTTATTTGGAAATTTATAATGAAGAAGTGCGTGACCTTCTAGGAAAGGATCAGACACAGAGATTAGAGGTGAGGCTACTTTGAAAATTTAAATACTCTCAGGTAAGAATTATCCTTCCATAGGATTATACAGAATCAACATGTTGGAGCTGAAGGAAACCATCAAAAACCTCTTTATGACATAGAGGAGATGAGGAAAGTTAGATACAAAAAAGGCAAGTGACTTACTCAAGGTTATATATTTAATAACAGAGAGAGTTGGGACTCCAACTCAGGTTTCCTTACTCCAGGTCTAGTGGTCTTTCCATGATGCCAAACATTTTCCTCTTATTAAGTTTTAAGAAGTCAAATAAATTGAAGTTTTAGCTACATTATAAAGGATTTAGTGTTTTAGCTTAAAGTTGAGCTCATGACACTGTACTGGCCTGTATGGTTGTTTTCAGCTTAATCTAGTCTAATTCCCTTTTAGACAGTATTAGAAATTAGTTGGAACCATGTCTGTTAAAATTGAAAAGATATTGCAATAATGTGTTCTTATTTGTTTTGCTCTAGTCTTATAATACCTCTTCTGGCATTTTACTTCATCCTGCAAACTTTAAATTCCTTTTTAAAAAAAAGTTTCATTGCAAAGAACGTTTCTCATTTGGCCTGATAGTCACCAATCAAATTCACTCCCATTAAAATAAGGTCTCATGCCACGTGAATGCCATACTTTCCATAACTAATAATTGTTTTTCTCTGATGGTTGCATTGCCCGATTTGTTTTAACTTAACATAAGGTTGTGTAGAATCAGTCACTTTCCCACTTGCCTGTATTCTGCTGGGTCAAGCTGTGAATGTTGATCAGATGAAGAGTCACTCTTCAGTGTGAGGGATAATGTGAAGAAGTGCTTTTCTCTCATGTCATCACTATGACATGATGATAAAAAAAAAACCTCTCTCAAGTGAGTTGGAGTAATACTGTTAAAGTTTTCCCAAGCAGGCCAATATACCTCTTGTTATCTTCCATTCAACTCTCAATTTCTTTTAGAATAGAGAATAGGCTAATGAAGGGTGAATAGAATGTTTTCCTCCCATTTTAAGGTTTATTATAAATTACTTATACTGACATTACACCACTGCTATAGTAATCTATAAGCAAATAACAAGGAATATTGATTTTAAAAGTATTGTATGTTATCAATGTGTAATCTTATTTTTTTAGGTTAAGGAAAGACCTGATGTGGGAGTTTACATCAAAGATCTTTCAGCTTATGTGGTAAATAATGCAGATGACATGGATAGAATTATGACATTAGGCCACAAAAATCGTAAGTACAGTCATTAATTGGCAATAAATCTTTAGTGTTGAGTAGATTAGTGTGAAGGTAGTAATGTAAGTTATATCACAGCTTGATGCCATGTGAAAGAGACATGATTTTGAGATAGCTTAACAATTCTTTCTGTAGTTGTTTAGGTGTGTCTAGCCGTGAACAAAATACTTTAAGGTGGGACAAATTTCTTTTCAGTCCTAGTCTATTTTATGCCATACAAATGGTAATATCCTTTAGAAACTTCCACATAATTTCATCTCAAAAAAGAAAGTACATGTTAACAGAAGATAATTTACAAAATTTGTATATGAAGGCAACATCAGTGCTTTTTAGATTTTCCATTTCTTGCTTAAATAATAGTTTCAGTTTAAAGTGAAAGCCATTTTATAAATAAAGTATGGACATTTAATTTAAAAAACAAAAAACTGAGAAGGCCACCTCTACAGTATTTTGCTTTAAAGAAAATCCAAAGGGGCAGCTAGGTGGCACAGTGGATAGAGCATCGGTCCTGGATTCACGAGGACCTGAGTTCAAATCCGGCCTCAGACACATAACACTTACTAGCTGTGTGACCCTGGGCAAGTCACTTAACCCCATTGCCTAGCCAAAAAAAAATCCAAAAAGAAAATCCACTACTACAAAAACTGTATGTTTACATTTTGTTCTGTGTACATTAGTCTATGAAATGACTGTGGACCAGGAAATAGCACTTTATTAGATTCTCACTTTATGGCATAAATCAGATACTTGCCTTTCTCAATACTTCAGGCATCTGTGACTTCATATGTTTGAATACTCTCTTTACCAGATCCCATTGCCTCTGTGCCTTAGTAGATGGCTTAATGAGTTGCTGTGACTGGGCCTGACTTAATTAGTTTGTTTTGTAGAGAGACAGACAGTTGGTTGCTGTGTCTGTATATGTAATTCTCTCCAGTTTAATACAGGAACTGCCAGAAGTTTGTGTTCTTCTGGTGCTAGGTGTTTGGGATACCAAGTGTCACTTCCATTTCATAATAAGGCATCCCAGTGGGCATTTGGTGAAGGCTTACCTTTTGTTGTTCTTATGTTTTATTATATCTTCTTGTCGGTTACTTCTGCATGAATTTATGAAATAAGATCTTAGAATGAGATCATTATTTTGGGATAAAATGAGCATAATCTTAGTGCTTTTTAGAAGCCCAGCTAAATTAGTTGGGATGTTGAACTTTATGTATAACATACTTTCTTTTTTAACTTTGACACTTTGCCTAATAATTTTAAATTTTTAGTTTGAACATGAGTGGTAGAACATATTCCTTCATAATCAATATCAAAACCCTTGACAGAAAGATTTGTAATAATGTTGAATAAATCCATTGTTATCTATGTAATTCAGGAGTGGATGTGTCTTTTTTTTGCCTTGTGTCTAATAAAATTACATATTTTAAGTTATTATTTAATCATTTAATTTGTGCTTTTAGATATGCTTGAACATTACCTTTTCAAAGTGATTTTCTTCTTATATTAAAGGTTCTGTTGGTGCAACTAATATGAATGAACACAGTTCCCGTTCCCATGCTATATTTACAATTACCATTGAATGTAGTGAAAAAGGTATTGATGGAAATATGCATGTTCGGATGGGCAAACTACACCTTGTAGATCTTGCTGTAAGTATTAAGATGGTAATTGAGGAAGATATTTTTCTCTAGTAATTTAATGGATAATTTCCACTTTTGTTTTCAAAACTATTTATACAAATGAGAAGTCGGTGATGTTCTTAAATTTTTTTGAGTTTTTGTTCACTTAATTTACATTGAAAAATTTTATTTTAAAATTTATTTAAATTTAAAAAAATTAAAAATTCATTTTGGACAATTAAAAAATTTTTTGTTTTCTCCTGAATGTGCACTGTTTTTGCATCTTAACTCCTCTCTATTCATTATTAGGGTTCAGAAAGACAGGCAAAAACTGGAGCTACTGGACAGCGACTGAAAGAAGCAACAAAAATTAACCTTTCACTCTCCACTCTGGGGTAATGTCATTTCTGCCTTGGTTGATGGAAAAAGCACTCATGTACCCTATCGAAATTCAAAATTGACTCGTCTTCTTCAGGACTCCTTAGGAGGAAACTCAAAAACCATGATGGTAAGAAGTGGATGGTTGATCTATTTGACTCAGTTGCTAATTTATACATGACTTTTTGATTCAGTGGTGAATTTCATCTCCTAACAGATAAGTAAATGTGTCCTTTTTTTTGTTTTGTTAAACCATGTCATCACTCTGTGTGAAATTTCCTACATCTACTGATGAAAGGGACAGAATCTAATCTCATTCCCTCCTTATGGCATGGAGACATAAATTCTTGGTGTAGTGTACTTTTTTTTGTTTTGTTTTGTTTTTTAAATTTAATTTTCAGTTCCAAATTCTCTTCCTCTCCTTTCCTCCTACCCCACCCATTAAGAAGACAAGGAATAGTATTTTTACATATATGTATAATCATAAAAACCAAATTTCTATGTTAGCCCATATTCCAAAGGAAAAAAGCAAGCAAAAAAAATTGGCGTGCTTCTTGAATTTTCATGTCATCTTTGTGTGGAGCCATGCTAATCTTTTACTATATGTGCTGCTGAAACAAGCATAGGGTAAGTTCTTAAAGGTTATGCCAGTGAAGCATAAGACTTATATATGTTCTTAGTGATAGAATCTGTTGGAGGAACTGTCTAGTAAGGACATAGTGACTTGTCACATAAATTTTTCATTAGGTAATGATCAGTTCTTTGGCCATGGCTACTCATAAAGCAGAGAAAAATTAAATGCGGGCCTCAGTCCTGCATATCATGCCCTACCCTAGTGATGGTGGTAGAGTGGCTTAAGAGGGCCATCAGTGTTGTTAGACCATCCAAAAACACGTAGAAGAGTGAATAGTGTGATACAGTGGACAGAAAGCCAGCCTTGGAGCCAGTAAAGACTGGGTTTGAGTCTGGCTTCTGACACATGCTTTGTAACCTTGTGCAAATTACTTATCCTCTTCCTCCTTTAGACAACTCTGTGAGACTCAGTTTTCAGAGAAGGTGCTGAGCTACATTGGTAGATTTAATTTGTTCAGCTTGGAAATCAGAAGAGGATATGAATAGGGCATTTCCCTTCAGTAGAGAGAATTTCCTCACCCTGTTCCAGTGAAATCACAGCTCCATTCTCTGTTCTATAAACATTCGTTAAGTGGTCCTCTAAACAGGAGATCTTCTTCCTGTGACCAATAGAATCAACATGCTTTTAGAATAAGAAGTTCTAATCTTTGTGTCATGGATCTCTCTGGCAGTCTGGTGAAGATTCTGAATTCCTTTTGGAGAATAGTGTTTTTAAATTCATAGAGTAAAAGACGAAAGGACTGTAAATGAATCCAGTTATTTATTGAAATAATTAGAGAAGTTTTTTTCCCATAAAATTTCACAGATTTCCCTGGAATCCTTCCATAGGTGGTCTGTGGACCCCAGGTTAAGGGATCCTTGGACCCTTTAAAGATTCTCTTTAGAAGAACCTCTTTAAGTTCTTTAGAAAAACTGAACCATGTTAGTATTGACACTTCTTAATTTAAAATTGATCATCAGAAATAAGCATTTCAGTATACTAAAAAACAAAACCAAAGATTGTATGTGAAAGTAAATTTTTGTTATGTATAGTTTTTTAAAGTATCTAGTAAATTTAAGAAAGTAATGATGAAATTGGCCTGTTTGTGTCCCCTTCTGAATTTTGTTTTCTTCTGTTTTTTAATGTCTTATTCGTGTTCTTTTAAAAAAAAACTTTTTATATATCTGTCACTAGTAAGTAGTTGTTCCCCTCCCCTCTCCTCTTTTTTTTTTTTTGGCAATTAGGGTTAAGTGACTTGCCCAGGGTCACACAGCTAGTAAGTGTCAAGTGTTTGGTCTGAGGCCACATTTGAACTCAAGTCCTCCTGATTTCAGGGCCGGAGCTCTGTGCATTGCGCCACCTAGCTGCCCCCCTCTCCTCTCCTCTTAAGAGAAGTCCTTTCTTGTAACAAAGCCTAGCACAATCAAAACAAATCAGTACATTGGTCATATCTGAAGATATCTCTTATTTAGCACTTGTAATTTCTCATCCACCACCTCTATGCGAAGAGCTGGGAAATACATTAAAGTCATGATTTGTCACTGCTTTGATGAGAATTCTTGAAGTATTTCAAAGCTGTTATCCTTTACATTATTGTGGTCATTGTGTAAATTGTTCTCCTGGTTCTGCTTATTTCATTCAGCATCAGTTGATGCAAAGCTTTCCCAAGTTTCTCTGAATTCATGATATTCTTAATTTCTTATAGTGCAGTGACACCCCAATATATTCATATATCACAGTTGTTCAGTCAGCAATACTAGCATCCTTTCACTAAACATAACCAGAAAGCATAAAGATTTGCAGCTAAGTGAAAAGATGGATCAGTTTCTTCTTGAAGAGACAAAAGAATTTTGGGGTTGAAATGATAAATGTATCCAAAGTCCAGAACAATATTAAATGGTACACATGATCATCTCATTTTGTAGTGCTCATGATGTATATAAACAAAAAATACTGAATAGGAACAAAACTGCAGTTTATGCACCAATATTTGCCACATAAGATGCAGAGGCAGAGAAATTCTTTGAAAAACTTAACAAGATCTTGCAAATCAAGGCAACAAATTCTTTGATACTTGGTGGCCTTCTCTGCAAAGGTGTATCCAGGAGAAGATCTTGAAAAGTATTTTAGGAAATATATTGAGATTTAAGTAATAAAGAAAGGTTCAGGGTCATAAACTACTCAGAAAACCTCATACTTGTATGTAATAAACTTTTTTTTAATAGGAGAGCTAGGAAGCACTGTCACAATTTTTAGAATTAAATGTTGATTTTTTTTTCAATTGGCAAAAATCAGCCTTCTCTTCATTCCATCTCCCCTGCCACCCATTGGAAAAAAGGGGGAAAAAAACTGTACAGTAGAGCAAAACAAATGTCCACATTGGTCATGTCTAAAAGAATGGCAAGGAAAGCCATAAATGTGTGTGTGTATAAATATTGCACTCTGAGTCTTTCATTGTCTATCAGAATCATGATTTTTCGTTCCACTGATCAGAGTTCCGAAACCTTTCAGAGTTCTTTGTCTTTACAATATTGTTTTAATTATATAAATTATTTTCCTAGTTTTTACTCACTTCACTTGGCATCCTTTCATACAAGTCTTCAGTTTTCTCTGAAACCGTTCCCTTTATCATTTCTTACAGCACAATAGTATTCTATTCACATTCAGATGCTAAAATTTGTTCAGTCATTCCCCAGTGAAAGGCATTCCCTCAGTTTCCAATTCCTTAACACTATAAAAACTATAAACACTATAATATTTTTATGCATCTTTTGAGTTTGTTTTGCTTAGGACTAATCCCTCCCTTATACCAGCCCCTTTTTCCTTCTCTCCTTTTCTTCCTGTTTCCCTGTTGAGTGAAATGTACTCCTATACCTGTGGTATGTGCGTGTCTTCAATCTCTCAGGCCACTGGCTACTTCCTCACTGCCTTTAAACATGCCCATGTCTCCCCAATTCTCAGAAATTCTTGACTTGATCCTTCCACCCCCACCATCATCCTACATCTCTCTTTCCTTTTGTGGCTACACTCCTTGAGAATGCCATCTATAATAGAAGCCTTCACTTCCTTTCCTCTCAACCAAGACTGTTCTCTCCAGAGTTACTAATGTTTTCTTAATTGCCAAATCTAATGACCTTTTCTCAGTCCTCATGTTTGTTTTTTTTTTAATTTCTCTGCAGCCTCTGACACTTTCACTCACCCTGTTCTTCTGGATAGGCTTTTCTCTCTGTTTTTTTGTGGCTATTCTCTCCTCATTCTCCTTTGTAATGTCTCTCTAATACACACCCTTCTATCTTCTGACATCGTTACCACCTTGGTGCCAGAGCTTCATCACTTCTTGAGTGGACTATTACAGTAGCCTGCTATTTGTCTGCCTTTTGTAAGTCTCTCCCCCTACAATCCATTTTCCATTCAGGTGTCAAAGTTATCTTCTTACTCACTAAAGTCAGTGGCTTCCTATTGCCTGCAAGATCAAATTTAAAAGCCTTTCTTTGGTATTCAGAGCCCTTCATAACTTGACCCTCTCCTCTATTTCCAGTCTTTTTTTTGTTTGTTTTTGTGGAGGCAATTAGGGTTAAGTGACTTGCGCAGGGTCATACGGGTAGTAAGTGTCAAGTGTCTGAGGCTGGATTTGAATTCAGGTCCTCCTGTCTCCAGGGCCAGTGTTTTACTGGCTGTACCACCCAGCTGCCTCCAGTCTTCTTAAACCTGAACTGCTCTCCACATACTCCTCAGTTCAGTGTCACTAGTTTTCTTGCTGTTCCTTGAGCAAGACCCTCCATCTGCCACGTCTGGGCAGTTTTGTTGGCTGTCTGTTGTGTTGGAAATTCTCCTTTCCTCATCTCTGCCTCCTGGTTTTCCCAGCTCCCTTTATGTCCCATCTTAGGGAGCCTTTGCTGGTGCTTTTTCTGGGCTGATTGTTTCCAGTTCGTCCTGTATGTGGCTTGTTTGTGCGTAGTTGTTTGCATGCACTCTCTCCTGTTAGACTGGGAGCTCACTGAATACAGTAACTATCTTTTACCTTTCTTTGTATCCTTAGCTCTTAACGCAGTGCTTAGAACATTGTAGTAGTTGTGTCTGACTCTTTGTGACCCCATTTTGGGGTTTTCTTGGCGAAGATGCTAGAGTTGTTTGCCATTTCCTTCTCTAGCTATTTTACAGGGGAAGTGCTAAGGTCAACACAGTTGAGTGACTTGCCCAGGGTCACACAGCTAGTAAGTGTCTGAGGCCAGATTTGAACTCAGGAAGATGAGCCTTTCTGACTGCAGGCCTGGCTCTCTATTTACTTCACCACCTAACTGCCTTAGCACATTATAGGTGCTTAATAAATATTTGTTTACTAGTGAACTCATTGTATTCTCCACTCCTTTGACCCATTAAGTTGAGATTGATGTTCAAATGTCAGCTGTACCTACCAACTCCTTGTTGGTTTAGACTTCTTTTTTCATGTCCTGATAATGTGAGATAATTTGCACTATCCTTCCTATCCCTCCTCCCCAGATATATTCCTCTTAATC